TGCCTGATGAACTATGCCATATTAAATAAATACTTTCAATTTAAGAATTTCTGCTAACAAGCTCTTCTGAATTGAGACAGAGGCACCCAGTTATATTTGATGGTATAAACAACTTACTCGTGTGTGTGTGTGTGTATGTGTGTATGGGCAGGCACATCTATATGTTCCTTTAATGATACTTTTTTGAGATGACTTTGAGTAATAAGTAATGCATGTGTTAAACATGTTTGCTAATCAAATTAGTTTCTGTGTTGCTCTGCAATATGGTATTTTACACATATCCAGGTGTTGTAGCAAATCCAAAATGCCTATTTGAGAAAAGCATTGGTTTTACCTCTGGACAACCTTGGGATTTATTTGTGTATGAAGTCAAAGTCATTATAAGCAATGCCACAGTTTGGTCTTTCTTGAAAGGATATCAACAATAAGATCTGATCCTTTTAGATATTAAATATAACAGTTGTTGAGGCTAATATCCATTAAGCCACTCACTCCTTCCTCATTAATTTCTACAGAAAGAAATTTTTTAAACTTGAAGGTAGGGAAACTTTTTTTTTTCTCTTAGTAAGTGGAGTTTCCAATAATGGTAACTCTGCAAATCAATGCTTTCTATGTTTGTTTTGGGGCTTCCTTGGTGGTTCAGTAGTAAAGAATCCACCTGTCAATGCAGGAGGCACAGGTTTGACTCCTGATCCAGGAAGATCCCTTGGAGAAGGAAATGGCAACCCACTCCAGTATTCTTGCCTGGAAATCCCCATGGACAGAGGAGCCTGGAGTGCTATAGTCCTTGGGGTCTTAAAGAGTCAGATATGACTTAGCAACTGAACAATACAATATATATGTTCTTCCTGCAAAGAAATATATGTTAAATCTGAATCTCAATTATAATGGTTCAGTTGACTATTGTGCTTGGCACTTGTGCATTTTCCTTTTCCCATAACACAGACTTCTTTATTATTTATAGTACTTTGTTTTACTGTGAACTGTCTCAAAGCCTTCTAGAAAGAGCAGGAGCACAAATATATTTATATATGTTTACACACTTACATATAATGGCTTGAATTGGCCCCAATGTTATCATATTACTATTCCCATATCTAGAATCATCAAGACATAGTTAATTAAAGTTTAATTAGTTTCCATGTGGAAAGGAAATCTTGGAAATTGTCTTTTCATTTGCATTAGAAACATACATTGCCTGAGAACCACAAGTTTTCATCATATTTTATAAATGGGGAGCCATGCATCTATGAAAATAATGTTTTAATTTCATAATGGATTAGATATTAGATCTATTCCTTTCTAATCTATTTATAAATACTGATTCATTTCTTAACTGATTTGGATGAATTCCATACTATCATATCAATTATAAAAATAGAATTCAAGAGTATCAAACAAAACTTCTATAAGTAGTTCCTAGATCTTTTTAATCATGTCCACTGGGAGGTGAAATGCTACTCTAGCTAGGATAGATTAAAAGTCAATTTCATTAAATTTTCAACAAAATGCCAACTTTCTCACCTTAAATTCTGGCAAGTAAAGGCTACGGGTCTGCTTTAATTAAAGTCAGAATGGCTTCTCAGCAGACATTTGCCAGGAACCTCAATGTGATGTCCAGCTTCCATCACAAGCAGGGTTGACATAACTGACACCCAGGAGACAAAAATTCTAGAGGTATGCTTCCTCTCCATTTGTCCTGGATTTCAAAACACAATCCTTATACTGAATTAATTCACAAAAAATCAGTGTACTATGACATAAAATTATCTTATCAGAGAAAACTTTACTCTTTTATACTCTTCGATCACACAAATATTTTAAGCAGAAAAAATGTACAGTAACATCAGGGGACATGCATGCTTTGGGGTGCTTTCCTCAAAAGTTCTGAAGGCCCTTCTTGTGTTCAGGGCTATTTATGGAGCAATGCCATCTAAGTGGAGGTTCCCTGGACTAGGTTGAAACTTGTTGGCCTCCAGTAGACAGTTCTCCCCTTTATGGCTCTGACTTTCCACTCAATTTTAGGGTTCACCAGGTACCCTATGGACCTCAGAACTAGCATCTGTGGAGTTTTCCTGGATCCACAAGACCAGACTCTGATTCCTAGTAGCCAGCCTGACAAGGAGATTGCTCCTGTTAAATGGTACTGTATGTTTTTTGCAAGGTCACTAAAATTTGGACTGTGAGAACGGTACTCAAATATTGATTTGATGTGAGTCATACTTTATATATAGATAGGCACCCTACAGAAAATATTTGCTAGGGCCCCATATCAGTTCAGTTCAGTCACTCAGTCATGTCTGACTCTTTGTGACCCCATGAACTGCAGCATGCTAGGCCTCCCTGTCCATCGCCAACCCCCAAAGTTTATCTAAACTCATGTCCATTGAGTCAGTGATGCCATCCAATAATCTCATCCTCTGTTTTCCCCTTGTCTTCCTGCCTTCAATCTTTCCCAGCATCAGGGTCTTTTCAAATGAGTCAGTTCTTTGCATCAGGTGGCCAAAGTATTGGCCAATGTATTGGACTTTCAGTTTCAACATCAGTCCTTCCAATGAACACTCAGAACTGGTCTCCTTTAGGATGGACTGCTTGGATCTCCTTGCAGTCCAAGGGACTCTCAAGAGTCTTCTCCAACACCACAGTTCAAAAGCATCATAGGGTCCCATATACCCTAGTGCATTTGTGAAGGACAAATCTGACTCCATATTAGATCTATTTCTTTTATTTTAATCTTTGTGCTTTGTTGCTTATACTTAATCATACTGGCTCTGCACCATTTGCAAAAGAATGTTGCTTATAGCCTGAAAGATACACCATGGCCCATTCTCAAGACCTTGGCCTTTAAGAGTCCATTTATATAGAGATAAAAACTTGCAGAATAGAGAATAACATTTGTATTGTTTACAGGAGATTTACAGGAACCTCTTCACCTTACCTATGTGGACACCTGCAAGGACAAAGGATTCCTACCCAAGAAGTTTACAACTAACTACACCCTGCCTTCCCTCACCTTGCCTTTAAAAGTGCTTTGCTGAAACTTTCAGGAGTTCAAATTTCTCTGGGAACAAGCCATCTGTCTCCTTGCATGGCCCTGTAATAAAATTTTCCCTGCTCCAAATGTTAACATTTTAGTTTGTTCAGCCTCACTGTGCATCACTCACAGTGTTTGATAACAGGAGGGCAACCTGACTATGTGTTCATTTTCAACAAAGTTACTAGTTGAAGACCTTCCCCATTATATTACACAATATTTTTAAAATACATTTCCAAAAAGTTAATTCTAAAAGCCCAGGGCAAAGAATTTAGCTTTTAAATAAATTTGTTTCATTTAAGTCAGCATTAGAATCATAAGACTCATCATGTTTCTCATTAGTTTAGATTTTCAAAAATCACTAGGGACTTTAATATTTCAGAGATATAATCTATTATATCAGTTCCCTAATACTCTTTTGACTATGGTTTTCTATTTCTGCTTTAGATTTATTTTAAACTCTCTTCAAGCATAAAATTTTTTTTATTAAAACCATAGCAAAATCTTTTAGAAAACAAACAAACAAACAAACCTGGAATTAGCAAAATGAAAATAAATAAAATATGCATTTTCCTGAAAAAAACTCTGGTGTCATTGATAAGGTCTATGATAGATATGGCTCCAAAGCTGATGTAAGAATAATAGCAGTAAAGCATAAATCTGTTGAAACACATAGTTGACATTTTGCAGGGAAAAAAAATTCTTAAACTATGAGATTAAAATTTTCATATTGTATTGAGATTAATGTGTATTTATTTGGGTTCCAACATTTATTACTTTGGCCATAAACACCTTTATAAATACCTTACAAAACCTATAATAAAGAGCGCCTCCTGGTGGACCAGTGATTGAGAATCCAAAACAGACAATGCAGGGAACTCTGGTTTGATCCCTGGTCCAGAAAGATCCCACATGAAACAAAGCAATTAAGCCCATGTACCTGCAATTACTGAGCCCACGTGCCCTAGAATCCATGCTCCACAACAAGAGAAGCCACAGCAATTAGAAGCCCGTGACCATAGCTATAGACTAGTCCCCACTTGCCGCAACCAAAGCCTACATGCCGCAGTGAAGACCCAGCACATTAAAAAATACATAAATAAATAAATAACCTATAATAAGGGAATTACTTTAAAGAATAAGCAAACCAAATCAAATACAGATCTTCCTCAACTTAGACCAGAGCTACATTGTCAATGGAAAACATTGTTAAGTTGAAACGCATTTAATACACCTACCCTACTGAGTATCATTACTTAGTCTGACAGACTTCAACATTCTCAAAACACTTACATTAACCAACAGTCAGGAAATCATCTAGCGCAAAGCCTATTTTATAATCGAGTGCTGACTATCTCATGTAGTTTATTAAATACTGTAGTAAAAGTGAAAAACAGATTGGCTGTGTAGGTATGGGATGCATATTGCTTTTGCAACATTGTAAAGTTAAAAAATCTTAAGTCAAAGCACTGTAAATCTGGGACCATCTGTACACCAGAACCATAATGTAAATGATCTGCCCTATTTTTTAAGGGGAGGGAAATGCAGATATTCTGCTCATTCAAAGATATGAACAATTTAGAATACTTATATCTCCTGATTTTTTCCTGTGTTTCTTGCTGGTAAACAATTCCAGAATGGATATGGCCAATAACGTACTATAGTAACACTTTCAGTTACATTTACACATATTAACTTCATGACTTTGGTGAATAATGTCAAAAATAGCAATATAATATATACTAACTTCATTAAAATAACTAAGGAAATTGAAGCAAAGAGGGATGAAATGATATTCCAAAGCTTACCCGGGTCATTGAGTCAGGAAGAGAAACCAGGTCTCTTGATTTCAATTCCTGTGTTCTACTGACTGGTTTGTTCAACTCCTATGCAAAACACCCACACACAATAACAACGCACAAGCCCCCTTGTTATCAAGTTGTTGGCAAAAGAAACATGTCATTACCTTTCCCACATACTGAGGCTCGGAGCCCATGTACTCCTCCAGCACAAAAAATTGATTCCATACCCAGCCACGTTTAACTCGGTGGACATGTGATCGTTGTCCTGGTAGGTGGATAACATTCTCTCTTGGTTCTGTGGCTAAAGTGTGTTGTGGCTGAGGTTGAAGTGGTGTTAGGAGACCTCCATCAAACAGGACCCAGAGCAGCAGGGATAAACAGTTCCTTGTAAGCATTGGCAAAAGCTTTCCTACAGCAGAGTAATCAAAACTCCAGCACTTAATGTAGAATTGTGGAATCCAGGTTTGAGGTGTCTGTGGCCTCCACCACTTAGCTTTCTGTTTTATTGCAGAGATGATAATGCAGGCATTAATCTTTTTGATGAAAATGCTTCTGCTATATTATATTCCATCTAAAGGGACCTATAAAACAGATTAACAAAGATACATTAAATTGATAGAATTACATGATGATAGTCATCAAAACTCTCTTTATATATCTGCCAACATTGAAGGAAACAGAGAGAAAAGTCTTTAAAAGAATTATATTAGTAAATGATCACTGCTATTTAACTTATTAACTTGGATAAAATATCTAAGTGTTTTTCACTGACTTGAAAAAGTATGAATCACAATAAAGCAAGAGTTTATCATAAATAGAAGCAATCATTTTTTAAATTTAATAACTATTTAAGAGTAAAGCAGAGATCACTATTTTTTTTTTACTGAAGTATAGTTAATTTACAATGTTTCAGGTGTACAACAAAATAATTCAGTTAGACATATATATACATTCTTTTATATATTTTTTCTATTATAGGTTATTCTAAGAAATTGAATATAGTTCACTGTGTTATATAGTAGGTCCTTATTGTATGTTCATTTTATATACAGTATAGTTTATTTTTTAAATTTAACCTCAAATTGCCAATTCATCTCCCCCCACTGCATACCCCTCTGGTAACCATGTTTGTTTTCTATGTCCATGAATCTATTTCTGTTTTGTAAATAAGTTCATTTGTATCACTTTTTATAGATTCTCCATATAAGGGATATTATATGACATTTGTCTTTCTCTCTCTGACTTACTTCACTTAGTATGGCTCTCCTTTATTGCTGTTTAATCTCTAGGTCATGCCCAACTCTTTTGTGACCTCATGGACTGTAGCCTGCCAGGTTCCTCTGTTTATGGGTTTTCCCAGGAAAGATATTGGAGTGGGTTGCCATTTCCTTCTCCAGGGGATCTTCCAGACCCATGGATTGAACTCATGTCTCCTGCATTGCAGGCAGATTCTTATCCTTGAACACACTAGGGATATGTATGATGATTGCATTATTGCTGCAAATGACAGTATCTCATTCTTTTTTATGGCTGAATAATATTTCATTGCATAGATAGATAGATAGATAGATGTAGATATGTATATCTACATATATCACATCTTCTTTATTCATTCATGTCAATGGACACTTAGGTTGCTTCCACATCTTGGTTTTTGTAATTAGTGCTGCTAAGGATATTGGGAAGTATACATCTTTTGAATTAGAATTCTTTACTGGGATTATGCTTTTTAAGGTGAACTGAGAGTAGGATTTCATAGCCTTAGGACAACTGACATCTGGGGTTGGATAACTTTTTGTTGCTGGGGGGCCAGCATGTACATTTTATGAATCCTAGAAATGCCCCCTTTCCTTCACTCAGGAGATGACAGTGGCATCCTTCTCCACTGCTAGTTGTGATAACCAAAAAATATCTCCAGCTGTTGCCAAATATCCCCTGGAAGGAGCAGAATAGATCAAGACTGAGAAGCACAGATTTAGAGAATAAAGAAAAAACAAAGCAGTTTTAAAGAAACAAAAAATTATCTGAGGTTAGAGAATAGGAAGTATAGGACCATGCATGAAAAAACATTCACTGGAAAGATTAACACTGAAGATGAAGCTCCAAAACTTTGGCTACCTGATGAGAAGAGCTGACTCATTGGAAAAGACCTTGATGCTGGGAAAGATTAAAGGCAAAAGGAGAAGAGGATGGCAGAAAATGAGATGGTTGGATGGCATCACTTACTCAATGGACATGAATTTGAGTGAACTCTCGGAGATAGTGGAGGACAGAGGAACCTGGCGGGCTATAGTTAATGAGGTTGCAAAGAATCAGACAGGACTTAATGATTGAACAACAGCAAAAGGAGAAGAAGATGGCAGAAAATGAGATGGTTGGATGGCATCACTTACTCAATGGACATGAATTTGAGTGAACTCTCGGAGATAGCGGAGGACAGAGGAACCTGGCGGGCTATAGTTAATGAGGTTGCAAAGAATCAGACAGGACTTAATGATTGAACAACAACAACAATGGAAGAATAACATAAATTTACTAAACAAAAATGATCTAAGATGTATGCTATTGAGAAAAACGTCAGATGGTTTTGTAAGACTTTATAAGCTTTAATGTTTTTAAAAAAAATGCCTCTCTAGTCTTGGCATACTAGAAACACTGGGATACAGAGGAATTATTTCATAGATAGTGTGTGACTCAGAGCAATCTTGAATCACTATCAGATGGATAATCTCTGCTTTGCATTTAGGTAAAACTGAGCTTTGAACATCTTCCTTACAACAAACACTTTTTTCATTCACTTATCTAAGGTTTGAGTGTCTAAGATGTACTAGGTTCTTTGTAATACAGTAGGTAAGGAAACAGACATGATTCTTATCTTTCCTAAATCAGGAATGGAAAATAAATATAGTCAAATACATAAATGAGGGCAAATTTACCAATGCTGTGGAGAAAGAAAAGTAAATAGAATATCCTGATGGCAAAATTTAAGTGGTCAGAACTTAAATTAGACAAAGTCTGCCATCGGTGACAGCTTCAATGAGAATTAAAAACAAGAGCAACTTTATATTCTTCAAGCAGCAAGGGAAAAATGTGGCTTTAGCCAGGGAAGCTCCACACATTGGCACTAGGGGACAATTGCCCGCAGCCTTCTCAGAGGTTTCCAAAGATCAAGAATATCAGAGGTCAGAAATTATATACAATGCTTCCAAAACAAGACAACTAAAATAAAAATCAACTTATGTTTAATCACATGCCTATAACACAGGGCATTTTGTCAACCTTTCAGTTGCAGTTTGGTTTAGGGATTATTCAGCTATATATAATATAAAGTATAATGCATTCTTTACATATATTCGAATGTAAAAAGTGTGGGAGCAATTCACTGAAGAAAAGATGTGAAATGAGAAGGGTCTAAAAGTTATACTGAGAGCATCCTACAATGACACTCTCAAAAGGAGAAATAAAGTGGGATCTATTTTTTTTTCCTCTGGCCTGAAGGGATGCACCTGTTAACTACTAACAAAAACATGAACCGTATATATTTTATTGCATCCTTTCATTCTGGCAAAATAATGTTCATAAAAAGTTAACTTAGACTTATATTGTCCAATATGGGAACCACTAGCCATATGTGGCTGTGGAGTTGAAATTTGGCAATTTGATATTGAGATGTCCTCTAACTTTTCACTTATATACCACATTTCAAAAAATTACTACAAAAATAAGAACATAAAAGATCTCGTTATTGATTTCAACATTTATTTTTTGTTGACATGCTAATAGTTTGGGTAAAGAAGTTTTGTTGTTGACTCTCTAAGTTATGTCTGACTCTTTGTGATCCCATGGACTGCAGCATGCCAGGCTTCCCTGTCTTTCATCAACTCCCGGAGTATGCTCAAACTTATGTCCATTGAGTGGGTGATGCCATCCAATCATCTCTTTGTCTATTTACCTCTTTTCTCCTGCCCTCAATCAGAAGGTTAAATAAATACAAACTATTACATTAATTTGACCTACTTATTTTCCTTTTTTAATGTGATTACTAGAAAATTACAATTATAGATCCAGCTTGCATATGTGACTTGCATTGTTTTCTACCATGCAGTTAGCACTGACTTAAATAAGAGTTTAAATCACAACTGTGATTTCTACTTAAGTCATATATATTTTAATATTCAGAATAGAATATCCAGCACAAACTGTATCATGTTTGTATGACAATATATTGGGATGTCAGAGGATATTTGCAACTATATGCATTAAGCCTGTGTAAAAATAACGCACATGTTTTCCTCAGCTGTTTTCAAGTTTAAATTACTAACACTGACATCTAAAGTGTTTGAATTCTTGAACTTTCTGTTTTGTCCATGTTTCTTCCCCTACTCATGTCAATCCTACTCCAAGCATTTACAGAACAAATGGGGAGATAAACATAAGTAGAAAAGATGGATGGAAGGAACTCTAACTTTCCAAACCTAGTCTATTACATGTAATTAGGTTGTCTTTTTGCCTTTGTGCTTCATTGATTTTTTTTTTTTCTCCTCCACTTTTTCGGGGGAGGTGTGAGGTATAAAAATTCAAACTTTAGTGAGTATTGACTCCTAAAGTTATCTCTTTAAACAAGCATCTTTTTATTTTACATCCTACATTTTTTATATTGGACAGGTAGCTATATTCCATCATTAGCATCATCAGTATAGGTCCAGCTACCCATTACCCTTGATAGTTGAGGATCCGAAATCTGAGTTTGGACCTCCTTTTAGAGGAGTCTTTCAGAAACTTTAACTAGCTCATGGCTTCCCCCTTTGTTACCCAATAATCTCTGCTTATTTGAGGAGATTAGCTCATAAGTTATTAACAATTGAAGAAGAATATGAAAGTAACATAGAAAGAACGTTTTTATAAGCTAATTCCACAACACCTTAAAGATAGATTAACATCGCCAAAAACAGCCCCTAAATGCAAAACATTGTCATGAGGCTGAAGTTAAATGGAGCCACATGGTGGTACAATATCCCCCCATTTCCCTCACCTGGTGCCCACATCTTGTTCTATCCTTTGATTCTCTCTGGACACACATTCTACTCAGCCCACTGTATTCTTGTACTTTTTGCATGCATTCTCCTTTATTTCCCTCTTTCTCTAAGTAGACTGTTCCTTACTCACATCCTTGCCATCAAATTACTTTCTCCTTTTTTGTTACATTTTTATATTCAGAGGAATATTTATTTATGAATAGTTTTGCTGTTATTTTCATTAGGATGGTGATGGTTAGTGGTGACCATACAGGTCTGAGAGATATGCACATAATCTTATCCTTTGCCATGAATGTTGCTGTTTTAATATGAATTCTGCAGAAGGCAAAGCTTTTTAGGAACTCAAATCCACACTGGAG